GATGTAAGACGACTCCAGTCAGGCTTAGAAGGTATTGGATCGTCATGTCAAGTCGAGGCATTTGACGGTGTTCAGATTGCTACTATGTCAGATCAAATAGTTAAACTTACAGCGACACTAGCAGAGTCTGAGCGGAGAAGAGTAGCTGAACAAGAAAGCATGAGTGAGACCGTTCAGCAAATCAAAGAACAAGTGATGAACCTCGCTTGTCGACCCACTACTTCCGTTCCCGATGACACCGACGACGAGAATGATGAGGATGATTATGTAGATCTCACTCCCTAGTTTAGATCTTTGGACATTTATGAACTTTTTAAAATTTTGAAACGAATTTTAAAAGACTTTATAAGTCTTTAATTTATGATTTAGATACTTTTGAATGTTATTTTAAGTATGTTGTTTTATGTTTTGTTTAGATTGTTTATAATTGTATGTGTTTGATTTGGGCTGAATAGTGTAGAATTGAATTGAATTGCATTTGCAGGTGGGCAGCAGAAACTGCCAGTTGCTGCTGTAAAAAAAATATTGCAGAAAAAGCGACGGACAACGTGGTTTAGTCCTTCACTTTTCTGGGTTTTAATTATTTTAAAAACCCAGAAAAGCGACGGACAATGTGGTTTTGTCCGTCACTTTTTTGGGATTTCAAAAATAAAATTTCCAGAAAAGCGACAGACTGCATCGCCTTTTAGAAATTAAAAAAATGAAAATTAAAATAAAGCGACGGAGTCCGTCACTTTTTTAAAAAAAATTCAAAAAAAAAAAGTAAAAGTGAGACGCTGTCCGTCGCTAAAAGAGACACAGTCCGTTGCTTTTTGAAAAGTGACGTTGTCCGTCGCTTTTTTAAAAGCGACAATGTCTGTCACTTTTTAGCCACGCAGTCCGTCGCTTTTTGAAAAGCATTGAGCTAAAAAGCGACGGCGGTGACTGCGTCGCTTTTGACCAAAAAAGCAACGCAGTTTGTCGCTTTTGGCCGTCGATTTTTGACAATTTTTTAGTAGTGTAAGATAAGAACATGCAAAATCGAGTGGTGCACCTTCACAAAAGCATTGTCAAAGTCCATCAGCATGTCTTTGGAGACGCCTTCCTCCGAATGTTTCTTCCAGTATTCGATCACTTTGGACATTGTTTTGCTATCAGCATTAGGTAGGGCAATGACGTTTGAAACACAATCGTCTTCAACCATATTTTTGATAGTTTGTGACCTTACGACTATCGCCTCGTCCAGTACAAATTTCTTATCATCGCAAGTCTTTAAAGTTAAAAACTTTGTTGAAGAACACATGATGATGAAAATATATTTGAATAAACTCAAAAATTCTTGAATTTTACTTCAAGTTCTATCTATTTTGTATATTTTCTGTATATTGAAAATAACCAGTAACATCCCTATTTATAAAAGTAAAAATCAAATTAAATTAGGACTAGGAACCAATCTAATTAATAAATCCAAATTAAACATAAATAAGTAAATACCATAAATAACAAATCATAATCAACTTAGAATTCCTACTCTTGAATTATTATTTCCAACAAAAAAAAAAAAAATCACCGCACCGTACCTCAAAAACAAAGCCCATAGAAAGCACTTCAAAAACAATCCATTGGGAGAAATGTTTAAACAAATCATCCGAGAGCATAGAACCAACATCACTCTTCTGTCTTTTTTATCAAATATTAAAATAGAATAAATATAAGATAACTAGGTCTCGAAAAAATAAAAGAGATTCCAGATATAATCACGTAGTACTAACAAATTTAACGAGCCACTAAATTAAAATAAGGCATAAGACATCATAATGTTTAAATCATTTAAACTTGTTCATCCGGCACTTGGTATTGACGAAGGATCTCATCGCAGCTAGCAAGAGGCTCATCACGGATGAAACCCATCGCGTTGGCAAAATAGACGTCGGAAATCATGCCATTGTTGCGGGTGAGAGTGACACGGGAACGATCACGACCGGCGCTGGGCTTGGCACAGGTGGGATCGGGGCTCTTAATCAGGACGACATCGCACACATCGTCACCACGGTCACTTTTAACCAAGATACTGTATTCTCCTTGAGAGTTAGTCACACCTTCAACAGTGTAGGTGGGTTCTTCCGTGATCCTGCTCTTGCACTCAATTTTAACCTTTGCGTCTGCCCATAAAACAAGAAAAAAACAATTAATATAAGGTAGTTGTAATCTCCTCTCAAACATTTCATCGAACACATGGGAACCAAAATTCTGAATCACTTTACTAAAATAATATAAGGAGTGCAGTTACCGGGGAGGTACGTGGTGGCAGGGGTCTCAAAACCGCAGCGGCAAGTATCACAGTAAACTTTTCCCTCGACAAGTAAAGGATTGCTGGCAGAAGCAATTGATGTAGAGAGCAAACAAATAGCGAAAAATGCCACCAATCTTGCCATGCTATTACTTGTTGTGAAAGTTACGACAGAAATCAAATGAAATGAATGTGAAGATAAAAATTTAGTTCTGGGAAGTGAAAGTGAGAATGATATATAATGTACATAAGTGGACCCCATGTACCTAAATATTCGACATCATTTTGTTTTTATCAACTTCGAATTATTTTTTTAAAAAAAAAACTTAAAAGTTAGATTATGATTTAATGTTTTCTATAAGACTATGTGCAAAATATATTTTAATCATCTATGAAATAAATAAATAAAATTAATCTATCAAACCCTAAGAATAAGTCAAAATCCAACATAGTGAGTAGCAAATTTCATATAAAGTGTTCATGCTAATTGTAAAGTAATAAATTATAATTTAACTTGGTCAAATTGAACAAAACGGAAGAAAGATAAGCGAGCGTACGTTTCGGCTATCTTCTCAACAATTTCGGAGTATGGATTCCACCGGCCCCAATATTGTGTACTGGAACCCTTCCATTACGCACAACTTTTTCCCGAATGGCTACTTTGGAAATACAATTTTATAGACGATAAACAAAAATATACTTATGACATCATAGGATAAATTACATTAAGAGTGCTTGTTTACCCGTAAAATATTATTCTTAAATTTATCAAAATGGTTTATGGCATGCGAGATATTAAAATAAAGGATCATTGCAAGAGAATGATAAATGAGTATAAAAACAATAAAATAAGTAAGCAATCAGCAATGTATTAGATATTGGAAATTGGGCCTTCGAAGCCTGAGCACAATGTGATCATATAATGTGCGAGCTGTCAAAATCATGGAAACCCCTAAATCTAATACATATAACTAGTAAGCTATTAATTATAGAGATCGAGGTGCTAGACAGGGAACAACTTTCGTAGGGTTCACGCCTCTGCTGGTCTTCTGGTAGGTCACTAGCTCTGTAATTGTGTACCCATCGACGAAAGTATCAACTTCATTCGTAATTTGTGGATTGTCGAGCGTATTTTATCTCCATCATGTTTGATTGTGTCTTTTCATTTGGAATTATATATACGTCTGGACCTAAACAAGTTATATGTCGTTGATATCAGCCATGTTGATTTCGGAATTTGAGTTTCATCCTCTAGCCATATTCCAGAGATGTTGCTCAATGCTTCTTAATCCGAGCGTTCTGGTCAGTTACTTTTGCAACATGTTGACACATATTACTGTTGCAACATGTCGACACTATAGCAAAGGTCGCATGAAAGTAATTCGTGTTTTAAGTCAGTTCTCATTTGATCTTGGTCAAACCTCAAAATATTCCATCAGTGAACCAATGACGACCTTTCCAAGCCTTGTGGCTTTTTTTCTCTTGAGGTAAGTATTTTTCTTTCATATTTTCCATCTGTAATTCAATTTTCTCTTAGAATCGAAGGGTATCATATCATGAAAATTGATCGATTCGAACCCTGGAGCTTTTATCTGATGGGGACGTATGTGGAAAAGTATAATTATGCATGAATTTTTATTCTAGATCTATCAATTTTTCCTTCTAGCATGGAATTATGAATCTGACCTTTAACTATGATATTAATGGGTACCTACAATCCCCATAAAAAGGGTTATTTAAGCATAAAACTTTACGAATGAGATTTGTATGATCATGATTAATAAATAGTTAGACCTTCAAAAAAGGTCAAATTAAGTGGGTTTGAATACGTAAGCCTTCGTTTAGAAAAGTAGATAATTCAAGTGTCATTATATTTCATTTATCTTAAAATTTGAGGATTCTGAGGTGGTAAGTGAAGGGAAGACTGTGATTTAGCTTGCTTGTTTCCCGTTCTTTGGTTGAGGTAGTTTATATTTACTTGAAGTTAAACTTTGCTTAGTTTTTTTATATGTAATATGAATTGTAGTGTATGTTGACTGGTCTTCGTATATAGCTGTGATGGTGTGTGATTGAGTTCATGATTGCTTGGATGAATAAGTATATATGTGAATTGTTGAACTAACTATTTTTCTGATGCTATGCAATATAGCTTGTGATTATTCTTTACTTAATTTGTTCATTTGAGAGGTAACTGGAGAGGGTAGCATATTGAGATATGTAGAAATAGTGTGAATATATTTACTATTCTAATGATAAGAGATTTGAGTTTGATATAAACTTATGGACGAGCGATTATTTGTGTGTGATTGAATCAGATACCATGTTGATACGATACATGAACACATAGAGTCCCCAACAAGTCATGGTTAGATGGATAATATTAAGATCCTTTATTACTGTGTGTATAGACGAGTGTGAGACTTATGATTTTTTAGAGAGTAGAGAGATGACTGGCAAAATTGCAGAGATTATACAACTATAAGACCGAGATGGATATGATTTTCATGATTTTATTGACTTAAAGTATCTCTGACAAGTGTGTTAATGATTGATATTGATTGGTGATTGGTGATTGATTGCTCCATACTTATTGATTGACATGCTAGTGAAGGTATAATGTTGATAGAATAGATATATTAGAAAAGAGTACAACTTATATTCACATAAATGTATATATGATTAGTAGATTACTTGTGAATCAATGTAAATATTGGGTCCTCTTATGGAACTACAATCACTTAACTAGTCCTTTCACGGGATCCAAATCAAACTAAAGTAGCATATCAAGAGTGGTATTCGAGTCAACCGTATATAATCATACTAGACGTGATGTTTGAGCCAACCAACAGTATAATGTATCGACGTGGCATTCGAGCCAATCAATCAGCACAACAGGCATGCACAATCACATGAGCATAGAACAATGAACAAGACCACTTGAACCCACAAGTTACAATTACAAGTTCATTTTCATATGCTTTCCTACTACGCATTGCAAAAATAATACTACAAAGCAATAGCCATACATACACACATAATCGAAAACATATAACCATCACTTACATATATAAACCTATATGTCAACAACCCAAAATAGTAGACTTCATTATGAGCACATATTCATTCCCTAGGAAGATATCTCCTTAGTCCCATGAATCGATACTTTTTTCGTTTATTTAGTTTCCTTTAGTTACTACAAGCTAAGTTCCAGAAATGGCTATAACCTAGCAATATCATACGCACATAACCTTACAATTAACACCAAATTACTCCAATAAGAAATCTTAATGTTAATGATCAAGAACTAGAGAGTTACCACTTAGTTATTATCTTTTTCCGCCCTAACAACAACAACAAGAACATTTGACCATCCGAACTTCATGCTCGAAGGCCTCGGCATGAAATCTTCGAATATTTACAAGATAGAATGTGGTAAAAGCAAGTCTTACTATCAAATTGAAAGAAAACCTAGCCTACCGGACGCCAAATAGCCACTGATGAATCTTGTCCCAGAATACGACTCCGCTGAAACACCCTTTGATTAACGCCATGGAAAATCTGTAGACTTTTGCCTTCCTAGTGTGGAAATTCTCACTCCTCCATTGCTCCATCTCAAAATCGAGGGAGGAAACTAAAAGACGACACCTTAATTAGGTTGTTGAATTTCAACGTCTTGCTATTGCTATTTAGAGTGAATATTATTTTGAGTGAGATTTTTATTATTTTTTCGTTATTATATTTGGTGTCGTTTTTTTTTTTGGTTTTTCACTCGGTGTCCGGAGCTCACATTGGAGCTCTGACTAAATCTGGATCACGCTCTGCAAGGCCTATTCGAGGGTGGCGCTTCCAACATATTTTTCTCCATACCCAGGGCTCGAACTCGAAACCCTGGTTAAGGGTGAAACAGTCCTTACCCAGGTGCCATTGTTACTATTTTATCATTGCTATTTAGCATGAATATTATCTGGGATGAGATTATCATTTTTTCCAATAGGGGGTGCAGGGGTGGAGGGGCAGGAAACTGTTAGACAATTGGCATTTTTTTCAGCTTATTATTTTTACTGTTTTTTACTTATTTCAGTTTAGTGCTTCCTATTTTCTAGCTAGACTTAGTCAACTTTAGTTGCTCAACTTTCTGAAGTTAGTGGCCCCTTTTATGGTTGTTAGTGGCACATGTTCTTATTTAGTTTTGACATCCACTTTGAAAGTGGCAACTAGATAGGAGATGGTTAGGTTTTTCCTTGTATAAATTCAGATCTTATGCAAATTAATACATAACTGGAATTTTATAAGTTCACTCTATTTTTATTTTTCAAATCAGTTTCTTGAGTATTTTTGTTCTAACAGTGGCATCAGAGCCTCTAGTTGATCTTACAGGACCAAAAAGTTTTAACCTACAACACAAATGGCATCCAACAACCTACCTTTAAATCCACCATTCACTTTCACCGGTGAAAATTACCAAATCTGGTCTGTGAAGATGCAAGCTTTTCTGGAAGCCTATGAACTTTGGAAAACTGTGACGGAAGATAAACCACTTGCTGCTCTATCAGCAAATCCTACTTTGGCTCAAATCAAATCCAACAACGAAGAGAAGGCAAAGAAATTTAAAAGCCAAGTCGCTTATGCAAAATGATGTGGCAGATTCTGTGTTTTACAGAATCATGGCTTGCAAAATAGCAAAAGAGGCTTGGGATAAGTTGAAAGAAGAATATCAAGGCAGCAGTAGAACACGTCAAATGCAAGTGTTGAACCTGAAAAGAGAGTTCGAGTGCTTGAATATACAGAATGATGAAACAATCAGTAAGTAAGCTGATCAAATATCCTTAATTGTTAATAACATTAGACTTCTTGGTGAAGAATTTACAGACAAACGAATTGTGGAGAAAGTTCTTATGACTTTTCCTGAGAGGTTTGAATCTAAGATTTCCTCTCTTGAAGAATCCAAGGACTTGGGCAAACTTTCCTTAGGTGAACTAATGAGTGCTCTTCAAGCACAAGAGCAAATGAGGACTATGAGACCGGACAAGTTCACTGAATGAGCTTTCTCTGTAAAAAAACAAATATTAGGTAAAGGAAAGCAACAGGTCAACCAAAATAATAAGGGAAAGCATGATGGAGGAAATAATAATGGAGATGTGAAGC